TGATGGGTGGAAAAGATCTAACAGAAAACGCTTGGTGCTTAAATTGGACTTTGAAGAGGCCTATGTGTTGGCTTTTTGGCTTTCGAAGGTTATTATTGTAATTGTGAGTGTGCCAGCAAGGATCAATCAGTCCTTATAGAAAATTAATTGCCAACTAATTATCAGACGATTGTGTTTTAGTTCTTTCAGCCTCAATGAAGAGGACTTTTACTAGTGGCTTGATTTAGGAGAATTAAGCAAACAACAATCAAATGAAGAACAATTGAAGCACTTCATTAAAATGAAAAACTTACAATGATCCAATTCAGCCTCGTAGAGGTTTACAACAACAATCTACTTGAAACTACTCCTATGAACGAAGTGCAATGCATGAATTTTAAAGTATAGAAATATAAAGAACAAGGAATGTAAAGCTAGAAATAAAATAGAATAAAACTGGGTTTTTTGGATCTGAGCCTGGGGCTTTTTTCTGGGGCCTTCTCTGTTATTTATACTTCTCAAGGATGACCATCGAACTGCACTTCTAACTGTCGAATCGTTCATCCATGATCGCTGATCATGTTGCCTTATAGTTATCTCCACTATGCCATCACTTGCAGTTAGGCTTCTCTCCTGATTTTGAATTTGAATGTGAGTAACTGTTGAAGCCACATCACTTTGCATCTTTTTGCTGATCCAGTGCTACACAGATTTTGTAAGAACCAATACTAACTGTCATGTGTACGATCACGATCGAAAATTTGAATAGTCTTCCCGTATTGCCCTTATTTTGCCACGCGTTGAATTGTAATTGGCTTATACAAAATATGTAGCCAACACTATGACTCTACTAATTAGGAGTTTTTATTTGATATGCTATCGAAGTTTGGCTTTGGGACTAGATGGGTAAGCTGGATGAAAACATGTGTTTCCTCTGCTAAGATCTCTGTTTTGGTAAATGGGTCACCAACATCTAAGTTTTGTCCACAAAAAGGCCTTAGACAAGGAGATCTGTTGTCACCATTCTTATTCAACGTTATAGTAGAGGTACTCAATATTTTGCTGAGCAGAGCTAAGGAGTTAGACCTAATTAAAGGGGGCAGAGGTGGGTTCTAATGGACTAAGAGTCACACATTTGCAATTCGCGGATAACACGATTTTGTTCTGTGATGCGGATAGGATGGAGGTGGGTAATATTAAAAGAATTCTCAAATGTTTTGAGATTTCATCAGGTCTGAAAATCAATTATCACAAGAGTGTCATCTGTGGCATTGGGGTGGAAGAGGGAATGTTGCAAGAATTTGCTTCTAATTTAAATTGTCTTCATCAAAAGTTACCTTTAAAATATTTGGGACTTCCTTTAGGGGCTAGCCCAAGCAGCAGGAGTACTTGGAAACCTATTCTTGACAAGTTCAAACAAAAATTGTCCACATGGAAGAGAAGGCTTCTCTCTTTTGCTGGGCGATTAACTTTAATCAAATCTGTAATGTCCAATCTACCTCTTTATTATCTATCCATGTTCAGAATCCCTGCTGGGGTGGCTAAGGAGATTGAGAAATTGCAATCAGCTTTTCTTTGGGGTGGCTCAGATCTTAGAAGAAAAGTACATATGTTCCGGTGGGAAGTGGTTACTAAGAATAAGAATTTAGGTGGGTTAGGTTTGAGGAGGATTAAAAATTTGAATCAATGACTCTTGCTAAAATGGTGGTGGAGATTTGGAGCTGAGAATCAGTCTCTTTAGAAGGAAGTGATCTGTGCTAAGTATGAGACAATGGATGGAAGATGGATACCAAAATTAATAGGCAGAGGATTAAAGCTCTGGTCTAATATAATTAATGTTGTTTTGTCCAATCCAGAGTTGCATAATTTTTATATCAATAATTCTCAGATTGTTCAGGGGGATGGGAGAAGAGTTCAATTCTAGAGGGACAAGTGGGTGGGTAATGCATGCTTAATGGATGAATTCCCAAGGCTCTTTTCCTTATCTAATGATAAAAATGGTGTGGTTAGTGTGTTCTTTGAAAGAAGGGCAGATGATGGTGGCTGGAACCTGGGATTTAGAAGATCTTTGCTGGTCTGAGAGGAGGAAGAAGCTTATAGATTATTCAATCTGCTTAGCACTGCACTAACTGTGTATGCCATCGGAACTGATGAGCTAAAGTGGTGTGCAGATCCATCAGAGTTTTTTATTGTTTCATCAGTCTATAATTGGTGTGAATCACTTCTGGGATTCGCCATAACAATGGCTGCCAATTTGGAGCAATTTTTCTCCTCCCAAAGTGCAACTCTTTGGGTGGCTGGTATAGCTTGGTAAGGTTAAAACTTTTAGTTTTCTGCATAGAATTGGAATCTTAGATGGGAGTGCAAATCTTGATTGTGTCTTCTATCATAATGAGGTTGAAACAATGAACCATATATTACTCTACTGTCCTTTTATTTGGTTGCTTTGGTCCAACATTGTAAGATGGTGGGGCTTGCAGTGGATGATACCAGGTTCAGTGAATGGACTATTGCAATGGTGATCTGGTGGTAGAATGAAAAAGCTGGAGAATAAAATCTAGATGGTTCTACCTTTGGCTACTCTCTGGTCTACATGGAAGCATAGAAATGATTATGTTTTTAATGGGTCTCAACCAAATTTGGAAGCTCTGTGTGAAATAGTGAAAGTTAGAGTAGCTATGTGGCTTAAAGCATCGCCCATTCAGGTGGAGTTTTCTATAAATGACTTGGTATTTAATTTGTAACAAGTGAAGCATTGTATCAGAAATGAAGGTTGAATGAAATTGATCAAGTCTAGTGTCTTGCAACAGATGCTCTGTTTAGTTGTTTTGTTTGGCACCACCAGTTGGCTCTCTGTTTGTTTGTTAGTTTGTTTGTTGATTGGAAGTGTTTGTTGGGTGGAGTTCATGGCAGCAGGGTCACTGGTGTGTTTCTTGAGTGCTGCTACTGCAAAGGTTTAGTGCTGCTGCAGAGGTTTCTTGGTAGACCATTGGTTTTGTGCTGCTGCTGATGTTTCTTGGTATGTCACTGGTTTGCTACTACAGAGGTGCTGCTGCTATTGTTTTGTTGCTCTGTGGTTTTTTTTTCTTTTTCTTCTTTGGGTGCTTTACTGCTTGTCTAACAAGAAGTACAAGGTGCTTTGCTGTTTTGTTGTTCTGTTGCTTCTTTGTTGTTCTGTTTTTCTTTGGGTGCTTTTGATTCTCACCAATCTTGGGTCAAATGCTAGCATATGATTGCACTTCCTTTGCAGTGCCCACCTAGTTGGGATTGTTGAGGTTAGCTATGATGCTCTTTACATTTTCCTGCTTTATTGATGTAATTTTTGCATGTATAGTGCCTTTTTCATTAATAAAGCTTTTGCTTTTGCTGATCAAAATAATAATAATAAGTGACAACAATTGTTTGTTAAACGTTATAAAAATAATATGACATTTATTAACATGGAAACATATCTAGGTGTTTAATATAATAATTTTTAAATTTTGAGATACAAAATCACTACTATACATTTGTATAGACACGTCACGTTCACCAACCCAATTTAAGTTTTTGGCAATTGGTCATAAAGACTCATAAATATTAAGATAGTGATAATAAACTTTATTTTTTTTTTAATGCTTACATTTTTTTCAAGTTGAAATCTAAATTTCACATTTACGTTCATAATATTTTTATTTTATTGTGTTTCTCTCTAAAAAAATAGATGAGCTCTTTTTTAAAATATTATTATCGTTTATTTTTTTGGAAACAAACCTAATTAAATAAAAATATTAAGATTATTGAATCAATTTAATTTTTTTTCTGAATAATATACAAAGCAGGCCTTACAAAATGAATGGATCAAATTATCAAAAAGAGCATGTGGTGGGCCCTATGAGCCCAAATATAATACTCGAGTTTATATTTAAGCTTGAAAGAAGTCTAACCCATTTTAAAAAATGGTTTTAAATTTGCAAAATGGATTTCTATTGTCTAATTAGTATGGAGCTAGTATGTCTCAAACCAAGTTAAGGCAAGGACGGAATAGGCAACCTCAATATGTATGATGTTGTGGATGATGAGATTTGGTCACTTGGCAAAAAATGTGATTTTTTTTTTAAAAATTCAAATTAGATTATTTCTTTGTTTGTTTTACATTTTTTATGTTAGTAATGATAATGGAGTGAAGTTTTTTTTTATCAGCACAAAAAAAAAAAAAAAGAAAAAAAAACAAAAGAACTTTATTGATGACATAACAAATGAAATAACATCAATAAAAAAAGGAGGTGCAAAGAAACACAACAAAATACCCTAATCTCAACTAGGTTGGCATCAAGGAAAAACTTGACCATGAGTTGGCACAGCCACTAGGTTGGTGAGGAACCAACACCAAAATAGAAGAAAAGAGGAACCAACACCAAAATGGAGTGAAGTTAACTATTTCAATTTTAAAATATTTATTAAAACGCCGAGTATAAGTGGTTGCAGACGTTTGCAAAATGTCACGTAGATAGGATGACATTTATTAACACAATTACGTGCATATGTCTGATATAATAATTTTTAAAAATATACAAAAACACAACCATATGTTTTTTTTTCTTCTTTTGTATACTTTAAATTTTCCTTTGTATATTTTAACTTGTTCATTATTAACCCAGCACAAATAGAAGTAAAATAGGGGTTACTTTTAAATACACATCTAATTTCTTTACACTCACCTTCTATAATATGCAAGTGTGCTCCTTCATAAGGTTCAAGATCCAATATGTATATAGTGGGTGTAAAGAAAAATAATAATTAATGTATTTAAAGGCTTTAGCGAAGAAGTTTGTAATTTAATTTAAAATTCTAAGAAATTTAAGGGAAGATGTTAATTGTGAGCTTTGTCTGAAACACACACATTTGGCTTCTTGTGGAAGGTACTGCTGAAACAAAACGATAGAGGTGCTTTTTTGAATTATCGCAACAAAAATTTTATAATAAAATTTTCACTTTTAAAAATTTAAAGGAAATTAAATGATGTAGTATTAGGTGGATCAATGAAGTCCAAATTGAATGGCATAGAAAGTTTATCACATACATGAATAAATACTAGAGAAATTTTTTATGCATAGTCTATGCGTAAAATTCATACAAAATGAAATAATAGGAACATTTTCAAATTTTTGAGTCACAATAATGTATGTTTTGATTCCAAACAAAAAAAATTACAAAAGATCACAATTATTTTTTGTGAAGATTTTATTTGTTTAGCATTATTCAAAAAAACTAATGTGGGTGGAGGCGAATTGGAACTCCTTTTTCTGGCATTGGCACCATATCACCTAAAACCTTCTCCTTTGGAAAAAGGACCTCCCATTTATACTTCTTCACCACATTGTGGATGAAAGTTAGCACTACTAAACGAGCATACTCTTTTCCAGGGCAAAGTCTAGGCCCACCTCCAAACGGCACGTATGTGTATGGAGCCGGTGCTTCTCCGCCTTCGTACCTTGACGGATCAAATTTTTCTGGATCCCGAAAGTATTTAGAGTTCTTGTTTGTTGTGTTAACTGTCCAATATACCTACATACAGCACTCACAAATTAGCTACGATAACTAAAGAAAAATTATTTAGCAGTTCAAAATTAGATATTATATTTTGTTCTAACCACTTATGATCAATCGACCATGGTAACAAAGTTGTTAGGAGTTTTCTTAAAATGGAAAAAGCAAAAGAAAAAAAGAAAAAAGAAAAAAAAGGTGCCTACAAAAATAGTTATGCCTCTCACACACACACACACACACACACACACATATATATATAATTTTAGAGAAAGAAAATTAAAAACCATAGGCTAAAGAGTAACGGTTGAAAAGTTGGGGACACTTGGCCATCTTAAGCCTATACACCTACCTAACAACCAACAAGAAAAAAACAAGACCCAAGATTCCACTCATTTGAAACCTATCTTCTCAACAAGATTAAAAGATAGGATTTCAAATCTCATTTTATTTTTATAAGTAGTTAGAACTAAAGATGATGTGATAGTTCCAAATCATTGAATAAGGAGCTAGTCTAAAAAAATAAAAAAATAAAAAAAAATACACAAGCTTCATTTCATATATGTTTGCACACCTTCCAGCCCTTTGGAATTGTGTAACCAGCATATGTGAAGTCAGTTAAGACTTCTCTAAAGGTTCCTTGTTGAGGTGGGACAACTCTCATCACTTCACACATTACATTCCATGAGTACTTCATTTTCGACATGTCATTCCAGTCTAGCAATTTTCCTGTCTTTTTATCTTTTGAGATCTCCAATTGCTCTGCATTTCAAATATGTAAAAACACATAAATTAATTGTAACACGAAACTCGAACAACATGAGTATAGTCTGTAAAATTTTAGGAGATTGATCAATATTATTTTAAATTTGATCAACGTTTGGTTTTAAATTTGTCAACCCAAATTCCATTATATATATAATATAGTTGGTTCACTCTATTCACAAATTTATTATCAAAAAATTAATTTTGTATGTATATATACACATAAATAAGATTATTCTTTCACGATCAACTAAGATTATTCTTTCACGTCGCAAAATATATTTTTTGAATAATTTTATATGTATATATACACATAAATAATTTAACTAAAATATATGATTAGAAAAAAAAAATTCTTTTATCCCGTTAATTACAATCGAAAAGAATTTTGGATTGTACAAACAAAAAAATTTACACACAAAAAAATAAAAATAAAATAATAGTAACTTATAATTTTAAAAATGTCACAATCACATAATTCTTCATAGAAAATTATGTAACAAAGTCATTACCTGATAGGACCTTATTGTAGATGTCTGGACTTTCTCCCACAAACTTCATGAAGAAAGAAATGGTGACAGCTACATTGGCATAACCAGCCACCAACAAACCCATTATTTTATCAGCAATCTCAGCCTCACCCATACCCTTCCCAGTTGGATCACTCACTACAATCATATGAGACAATATATCTTGTTTCATAGCTCCTCCACTGCCTAGCATAGCGGCTCTCCTCTCCCTCACCACTGCCATTAGCTCCCTTCGAATAGCATCAACAGCTTTGCTAGCACGATAAAAGTTAGTGCCAGGAAAATTCACCATGATCGAATGCAACCCTAAGGTGACATCATCAAAATAGCGAACCAGCCTCGTGATACGATCTGGATTTTCCATCCCTAGAAAGATCCGGCAAGCAATCGACAAGGTCAGAGTCTTGGCCAGAGGGTAGACCTATTACAAAAGTATTATGGAACAATTCAATATTATTCAACAAAATTATTAAGACATATATAACATATGAAATAAGAATGCATGTAAAATAACATAGTAAGAAAGTCGTCCGCAAAAACTTCATGTACATGATTTTCTTGTGTCTTGTGAGTCTCACACTCTTAGAAAATATTTTCTGCTTGGTTTGATTTTTAAAAAATTATTTTTTGACCAATTTATGTTTATGTGAATTTTTTTTTTATTTCATTTTAGTCAACTTTTTTTTTATATGCACCTAATCTAGATGTATCTAAAAATAAAATAAAAAAGGTCATTAAAAACAAACGAAAATCCAAACAAAAAATTGTTACATTTTTATTCAGATTTTTATTTGTTTCTAATGAACCTTTTCATATTTTTAGTCTTTTTTTTTTCATTTTTTTAGATGAATCTAATTTTGATTTATCTAAATAGAAAAAAAAAAATTGATGATTAAATTATCAAATAAAAGGAAAATAAAAACACATCTAAAAATAGTTCGTGAAAAATCAAACCAAACTATATAATAGTAACGAATTAAATCTAATAACTATTGTAATATAAATATAATAGTAAATTTAATTTTGTAACTTAAGAAGGTTTTAAAAACTAATAAATTTGAACCATCTAAAAAAAGAAAAAAAAAACTAATATATTTAGCCCCAATAATGAAATGATTAAATATGGAAATTTTTATTTTTTTATTAAAATCTCTATCAAGACCTTCAATTCATCTTTGCCTTCCCATTGAGTCTTCAAGTGTTGCTGTGAAATTGAGTCAATTATCCCCAAGTAACTCGACAATGCCTCAGGCTTGAAAAACCCAGGTGTCCTTATCACTTCTTTTACATCATCCACAGCCACCGCTGCCACTGCTACCACCGCATGTGGTGGTGGAACTGGTGGAGCTGCCACTGGTTCAGGTTTTGATGAGAGGAAAAGCTTCTGCTTTGAGTGAGGCAAGAAACCAGTGAAGATTTTTCTCTCATTGGAGAAGAGAAACTTGTTTCCATTTGGGCCACATATGACTGCTGTTTTCTCTCCGAAAATCTTCGTCTTGAAGATCTCTTGAGAGTACTTTGTCATCCTATAGTTCACAAAATTTTCTGGCTTGCCAAACAGGAATTCGATGCTTTCGCCGATAATAGGCCATCCGAAGCTGCCCGGAGGCAGTTTGACACCGTCATTGGAGCGGTGTCGGAGAGAAAAAATGGTGATGAGAATAGAGAGGGAAGCAAGAATGATAGAGAGATATAGGAACTCCATGGATGTAAAGATATGATAGTGTTTTGGTGAAAAAATGAACTAGGAAGTAAAGGTGGTGTGTTTGAGTAGGGCTTGGAAGTGTGGTTTATATAGGCATATGGAAAGCCTAGGGCTGTCCAATTCAAAGGGTAGATTTGAAATTTTAAAAAAATTAAACTTTTCAACTTTGGGTTTTTTTTTTTTTAATTAAAATTTTTCATTTTGAGTCTTTGAAAATATTTTGTTTTTCCACTTTGGACCCAAGGGAAAATATTCCATCTCTGTTGAATTTTTTTGACTGAGTAATCCAAACTAGGCAATACCCAATGTTATCTCATTTTTTTTTTGAGCAGCAAAGAAAAAGGATTTTATTGATGAAATAGAAAAAAACAAATACATCAAAAAAAGCAAGGAGGAGGAGTGCAGAGAGCATCATAGCGAACCCAATCAATCCCAACTAGGTTGGCACCGACAAGGCCGCAAAATCATATGCTAGCACCACCACAAGAGTTGGTGAGGAACCAACCACAAACAACAAAGACTACCTCACCCAGAAAAGCATTGGCCACACCTAGAACAAATCAAGCAAACAATCTAATCCTATACACCAGCCTCTCTGATCAACCAACCTCATAGCCGCAGCAGAGGAGACAACCAGAGCAACCAGCAGTAGAAGACTCTTGGACACTTACAATTCAACCCAGCAGAAACCTTCCTGATAAATCAAACTTCCATCATCCTTGGGTTTGAATCTTGGACTGTGTTTCCCACTTTGCCATCGATTCTACAACCTGCAGACCAAAACATGCCCAGCAGTCCAAGATTCAAACCAGCAGTCCAAGACTACCTCACCCAGCAGTCCAATTATAACAAACTAACTCCTCTACTAAGAGGCCAGAAGAAGCAGCATACCAACACACAATACTCCCTCTGCATCAGTCCACTGCCACTTTCACCAGCAAACCTGCACACAATACCTGCACCAAGACAGCAGTCGGCCAACTCAGGTCTCCAAACCCTGGCCAGAGGTAAATGGAACCAACTTCCCACCCAGCAGCAAGCAACCCAGCAGCCCACTCAGCTGGCCAGACAGTATTCTACAACCCAGCAGGCCAGAAGAAGTCCAACACCAATACCTACTTCACCCAATGCCCCTGATGCAGAACCTTACCTGTTGCAGGTTATTCACAAAATCATTTACAGAATAACCTGAGTAGCAAGCGCCAGCATCTTTGCACCACAACGCGACTCGCACTTTAATGGCCTCACACAGCTCCTCAAAATTTGGGTGAATGCCATTAAAGATACAATCATTTCTTAATTTCCAGATGGACCAAATCACAGCCAGAGGCATGGCCTTCCAAATCACCCTCTCTTTTTTATTCAGCCTTGTACCAACCCACCAATCAAAAAGACAGAGCACTGAACCAGGTAGAACCCACTGCAAACCCCACCAATTTAGCATATGTGCCCAAACCTTCCAAAAAATAATTCATGCGTAGTTTCTTCCATTGAATGGGATACGAGACTTGGTTTTACTGTATGTATTCAAATATGAATTTGATTAGATGATCTGATGACTTAAAAATCTTTTGGTATGGAGATGTTTTTGCTGGACCACTCATGGGTGGTAGGAGAGAAGCTCCATACCTTATGCTTGCTTATGTTGTAAAATATCTTGCCCTGTGGTTGAGAGAAATGCCAAAAAGTTCTTATGAGAGTGATTGTACTTTGCAGGAGGTCTCAAAACCTTTGACAGCTTTCAAGTCATTTGACAACCCAAACCGGCTTCAGATTATTCGCGTACCTGTCCGCAGCAAGAGTCTGCTGTCATCTTTCTTCGTAAAACAGAAGAAGACAAAACTGAAGACCATCTCATGAATCCTCACTCAATGAAGCAAGTCGACTATACCATTCAGCAAACCACCCACATTGTGTGGGTGTAACAGCCTATGCTTGTTGGTGATCACTTGATTCATCCATTAATTGCTTATATATCTCCAAACCTTTCGTTTGGTGATCGATAACAAGAAGTGCATCATCGTCTTGGTTCGGATCAGTGTTATGTTGTATTCTGTCTTGTATGTAGGTATAGTTAACTAACTAGCAGTCCTGTTGTGAAGATGGTTTATATTGATCAAGCTTTGATGGTTAACTCTAATTTCTATTTCTTGTCCTAATTATCTGGGATTTCAGATCTGGAAATTTACTTACTGTTTTCTTTGGAAAATTAGAGCAGGTCAAGAATAATAATATTCCTACTTGGTTAATGCTAAATAATAATATTTGCTTGATGTTAGTGCGGCTTATATTATTGATCAATTGTATTTCATATTTGAAGACCATATCAGAAAAATCAGGTCCAAAGGACTCAACAGCAACTGGCTGAACTAGAGCGCAAGAAAGCTGATATTAAAAGAAATGCAGCTCTTTCAACAGCTAAATTTGCAGAGGCTTGTCAAGAGCCAGGATTGCAGGTATGATCCTGCATTGCATGCCACTCTACTGATGATGTATATTCCTTCAAGAACGAACAAATTAAGTGTCAACTTTTGTTTCTTGTCCTAACTATCTGGGATTGCAGCTAAACATTTTTAGGTTGTCTTGCTGGAGTGGACAGATGATTTGGAGCTGTTCATATTAAAGGGTTATGGTAATGCATTAAACTACCAGATGGGAGTGCCATTGCTTGAGGATGTTGTTCAGTCCATGGAACAAGCTATTATGGCTAAAGAAGGTTAGATAAACCATAACAATTTCATTTTAAATGTCTCATAAGTTTATTAATTCTTTGAATCTTATTGTTGTCATATTATTTTCACTGTGTTTATGGTTATTTGCTATTAATGCTATGGCATGTGTTTCAAAACTAGTTTTTTTTTTGAAACAGCCAAAGTAAATTTATTGAAAATTGTCAAGCAAAGAGACATTGATTATCAACAAAAGCAGGAGCCCAGCAAAGCTCACAACAGGGCAATAAGGTTGGAAAGTTATCAACCAAGCAGCCCACTAGACAGAAGCATCCCACCTGCACAGAGACTCAGAGACAGCAACTGACAAAACCCCAAGCAAATTGCAAGTCTGTTTAAATGGACCTCCAACGTTGGATCATGAACACAGAACAGAGTTCTTTGTAATGAGTTCTTTGTTCATTAAAAAATGTTTTATTTTGTTGATATAAAATAAAACAAAAAAACAAAAAAAAAACGACTAAGCTTATGTTTCTTCCACCACCCTAGCTAGAAGCTAGGACTAGGTGTTGTAAAAATGCAATTCATAAATGGCTGCAATTTATTGTGTGTTTGAAGGATCAGAATTTAAGTTTGAATTGTATTGTATTGTATTGTATTGTTGTAACTCATTCTTTTATATTTCATAATGTAAATTTTTGGGTAAATATATGGCTAATATATTTGTAAGTTGTAAGCGTGGGAGTAAGAAGAAGAATAAGCGAGAAAAATAATAAACTAAAAATATAGATGATTTTTTAAAATATATGAAATAGTGAAAATAATAGACAAATAATTTAAGGCACAGAGAGTAATGGATTGGAAAAGGAGAGAATATTTTTTGAAATATCATTTTTTTTTTTTATTATCAACATTTGTATTCCCACAGTTAAAGTCAAGTATCTACACATGGTAAGAATTTAATAAATTTTATATTCAACACAAGTGTTGTTTGAAATGTCTTGAAAAGTGAAATCCAATTTTTTTTTTAATAAAAAAAAAGATAAAATGGAAAAAAATATTATAAAATAGACTTTTACCAAATCTATTAAAGCTTATATCATACTAGCAGCACACTTGTGCAATTGGTGTGATGATAAAATAAAAATATAAAAAATAATACTAACTTGTATTATTATATAAAAAGAATACTTTAAAACAAATAGTAATTACAAATTCATTTTATCCAAATGCAAATATTTAATTCCAAAAATTATTTAAAATAAATATTTCAATGAAAAAGCTCGTCTTGATCAAATGGATAAGGCATCCTTAGAATATTGCAAAAAAGAAATCCAAGTGCGAATTAGGCATAAAAATAAATAAATATTTTTTTAATACAATCAATTTATTTTTCTTGGTTTTGTGTTGCATTATTTGTAATAGAAAATGTTGAGCTTGAAAGAGACAATTTTTACAGCTCACAAATGAAGACTGTTACAGAACAATTTTTACCTAGACATTGTGAATGGAATGTCATGCCTTTGAATCTAACAAATAGTTCAAGTCAATTTCAAGATATTATAAATGATATTTTAACTCCTTATACTGGATTCACAATTTTTTATATCGTAGATGTATAATTTGGCAACTAAAAACAAATGTTAAATGGACGATCTCTTTCATAGAAGATTTTGTTTGGGTGGTAATAAGCAAAGAAGAAAAAAATCTTATTATCAAAATTTTATTGTTGGTATAGCAATTACAAGTTAATTCATTGATTTAGTCCACCATGTCACAGACAAAATTATTTTTCTTTACATTATTGGAAATGGATGATTTTATACTACCTCCAAGTTTTATAGAATAACAATATTTATGATCATCATATTTTTATGAGTCATATTACAACTATTGTTGTGGGGTTCACTCCCAATGTGAGTAGGCAATAAAAAATGTCATTAAAAAAAAATGTACTTGTAACACGACACTGTTTTCATATTATTACTCTTTGATAACAAACATTAGCTGTAAGACATATTAAACAAATATAATTTTTATAGCGACCCCGGTCTTTTCCCATTTGATTATTGTATCCGAACTTAGGTTCCGTAGATTCTGTCATTGTATAATTGTTATTGTTGTCTCTTATTTTCTCATTTGGAATTATAGGATGTGTTGGGCTTTGTTTATAGAATCAAGAAACCAAAAAAAAAATCCCATTAACTAAATATAATTTTAATACATAAAAAGATTTTGTCCGAATATTGGTTGGACAAGGCTTAACCGATTTGGGATTGATGTCTAGCTCTGCTATCAGTATTCAACATCTCAGCACTGGTGGCTAGCTCTGCCAAATGATACGAATTTCTAAGACTGTATTTGGTTGAGAGATTTGAAAGGAAATTTGAAAAGGAAAAAGAAAAAGTAGATAAAATGTGAATAAAATATACTTACATTTTACTTAATTTCATATATTTTTTCACTTTCTCTTTTCAAATTTCTTCCTATATCCCCCAACCAAACACAGTCTAAGTAAAACTCACCCTTAAAATTAAATTTATAGGCTCTATTTGATTAGAAAGAAATAAATTATGGAAGTGAAAATGGTAGAAAGTAAAGTGGAAGAAAAGAAAAAGAAAGAAAATATATTTTCTCATATAAATTTGATTAGGATTAAAATTTTGTAAGAAAATAAGAATTTTAATTATAAGTTACTACTTTTGAAATTATATTTTTCTATGTTTTTTGCACGAAACTAGAATCTTAGTTACAATGGTCCCGTTTGGTAGAGTTGTGGGAAAGTGATTATAACTTATACCCTAACAGCTTATAGCTTATAGCTGTGAACATAAGCTGATTTTTGACTTAAAAATTAAGCTTCTCCTCCCCCACTCAAAGAATAAGTTGATTTTTGACTTACAAAAAGTTATAAGCTGTATTGTTAATCTGAACCAAACACATCAAAATAACTTAAATTAAGCTAAAAGCTGAAATAAGCTGAAAATAAGCCCTACCAAACTGGACCAATGTTATTATGAGTTGTACAAGAAAATTAATTTTCTTATAACTTCCACCACTTTCATGTTAAACAAACTTAGAATATATATATATATATATATTTTTTTTTTTCACTTTCTACCATTTTCATCATAATCAAACTGAGCCATACGAAAATGGTGTCCAAGACAGATTTATATGTATATGGCCAATGCCTATATTAATCGATGTGAGATTATAAAATATTATTAGCTACTTATTTTAACCTGTTTGGGGAGTAGAGTTTTTAGCTAAAAAGTTTTAAAAAAAATTACTATAAATTTTCACACCACTTTCTTTACTTTTTTACACATTTTTTTCATAAAAGTCAAACGGCCTTATTAACAAATGCTCTTGGGGTACGAGAAAAAGACAAAAGATATATAACTCCCGAGATATTTATTATTAAATTCAATATACTTTTTGACGCGGCGGAATAAATCACACGAGAGTAGATATCGTTCTAGTAGACGAAAGGGACTCTCGAATTCACGAGAAAAATAGAACCTTGAATCCACAAGGAAGAGAAAATATCTTAATATTATTGATTAAATGAATAAAAGTTGTATAAAAGTTGTATTTGCCATAAGGCTCACATAGCTATTTATAATAAACTAAACCTAATACGTGTAGGAAAAGTAATTCTAAAATAAACTAATAAACTTAAATCAACACATATTAGAAAACCTAAGAGAATAGGAAACTAGAATTCTAAACTATTTAAAATCCCAGTCAAAATGTAATTCCAAAATAATAAAATTAAGAAACCTAATAATTCTAAATTATTTATACTAAATTATAAGAATCCTAATAAAATAATTTATCAAAAATATTAAAACTAAAAATACAAAAATTCCTAAAATCTTGTCCTACATCACTTTTTATAAATTTTAAAATACTTTATGATTTTTTTACGCTTTTTCAATACACTTTTACTTAATTTTTCCAATATTAACAAGTGTCATGTTGGCACTTGTCAATATTTGCCAAAGTCAAAAAATCAACTAAAATAGTCAATTCTCAAACGAGATCACATCATTTAACCTTATTCATTTGTAAATTCTGACATTTGTGGGGTTGATTACCACAAATGTCATAATTAAATCTTTTTTAGTTACTTGCCCCCCCAAAAAAATCTTTTTTAGTCATAACTAAAAGAAATAATAATGAGTCATAACTAAACATCACACAACTTATAGTAAAGACTTTTTATACCATAACCAAAATCATAATCACAATAGATCATAATCAATATGAATTATAACTAAGGGTTATTATAATTATCAAAGGATAGAGTCATAACCTTGAAATTGTAGTTGTCTAGGGCTAGGCATCAGAACAATTGGGAATTCAGCTTCAGAAGGCCCTTATTAGCATGGAAGGAAGATGAACTGCAGAAATTAAGGGTTGTTTTAGGTGAGGGCCCTGCATTGAGATTGGAATCAAATGATATGTTATGGTGGAAAGCTGATCCTTCAGGTATGTGCAGTGTCAAAAGTACTGTTAAATGGTGTGAATCTTCGATTGGACCTACTTTGAAAATTCCTGACTTGCTTTGGCACAATCCCTCTCCTCCTAAAGCCCAATTCTTCTCTTGGTTGGCTTGGAAAGGGAGGATAAAGTCCTCTGACTACTTACATAGAATTGGCATTCTCTGTGAGGAAGTTAATTCTGATTGTGTGTTTTGTCAATCTAAGATTGAATCACTTAATCATGTCTTGTTGCTTTGCCCCTTTGCTCAGAAAGTTTGGTCGACCATAATTAAGTGGTGGAGTTTGCATTGGGTCTCCCCTAGCTTAGTGGTCACGCTAATACATTGGAGGTTAGGTTGGAAATTTAAAAAGGAAAAGCAAATTTGGAGATCAATCCTGATTGCTGGTTTATGGTCCCTCTAGAAATGCAGGAATGATTATTTGTTCAATGGGTTGCAACCTACCTATGAAGATCTCTGTGAACTTATTAAAGTTAGAGTGACCCTTTGGTTGAAAACTCACTCATTTGGGCAAGGGTACATAGTGAATGAGTTTGTGTTTCATATACATCAAGTTAGAAGCAGTATTTAGTGTGTCCGGTAGGTTTTTGTACACTAGGTTTTGCACTGCTGTCAGTTTTGCTCTGCTGCTGGCCCTGTTTTTTGTAGATTGTTGCGGCTTTGATTCAGGTTCTGTAAGCCTTAGTTTTTGCTCTGCTACTGGCCTTGTTTTTGTGGGGTTGCTGCTGCTTTGGTTCAGGTTCTACATGGGAAGCAACTAGCTGCAAGTCTTGGTTCAGGTTCTATTTTATTGGACTGCTATGCTCAGTTGTGGACTGCAATGTTGATATGTTTGGGCTGCCATACTGTGCTAATGTTGTAGTGGTGGTTCTTCTATTTCCTTGGTTGGTTGCTCACCAACTTTGGAGGTACTAGC